CCGGGTGCAAGCAAAAAGCTGACCTCAAGGCTGCGAGGTTGGAGTTTAGGGTTTAGGGCTTTGGGGTTTTGGGTTTAGGGTTTAGGGGGTTTAAGGCTTCAGGTATGCATCGGATTCAGTTGTGATGGGTCTAAATGGGCCTAAACCTGAAAACTGTTGACAATGACACCACCAATAGTGTGTTGTGCAATTAGGGGTCTGAATAGTCAGAATAAGTAAAAGCAAACCGCAATAACTACAGCTACAGCCAGCTTGCAGTGAATCTGTCATAAGCCCCATACTTTAACACGGTTTGCTTGCCGCTCTTGGCGGTCTCTCCGTCAAAAACTCTGTTTTGCACACCGCTACGAACGACATACATACATTCGTTACAATCTATTCCATTCCATTACAAGACAATGACACTAACCAATTACGATATGTTTCCGCACTGCACGGCACCACACGGCCCTGATTGCACTAAACACTGCACAGCACTGCACAGTAAGTGGCATCACCGTACATTACGCGACACTACATTGAATAAGTAAACATACTATATAGTATTATATATAGTAATACAGTAAAGAATATATATATATATATATATACATATATATATATATATGCATACATATATTTACGTATCCATCCATCCATCCATCCATCCATCCATCCATCCATCCATCCATCCATCCAACCCCGCCACTCAGCCACCCACCCATCCATGCATGCGTCGATGCATGCGTACATACATACATACATACATACATACATACATACATGCATGCATGCATGCATTACATACATTACGTACATACATACATACATACATACATACATACATACATACATACATACATGCGTACATGCATACATACATACATACGTACATACATACATACATACAGAACATAACATAACATAACATAACATAACATAACATAACATAACATAACATTACATTACATTACATTACATTACATTACATTACATTACATTACATTACATTACATTACATTACATTACATTACATTACATTACATTACATTGCATGACATAACATTACTTTACATTCATACATG